CGATGCGGGGCTCGATCCCAGGACTCTGGGATCATGACCTGAGCTGAAGGCAGACGCTTAACGACTGAACCCCCCAGGCGCCCCTGGAGTGAGATTCTTGCATGTGCGTGCCCCGGGCAGTGGCCATGAGCCCCCGGCTCTGCAGAGAGCTCCCTGTGCTGCGGGCCCTCTGCATCCCGCCTGCACCTCGTTCCCGGTGTTGTCTCGGGTTCTATGGAATCTCGCTTTTCAGTGATGAGCAAGCAGTGAGCACAGTGAGCACACCCAGGTTCTTCTCTGGGGGCTCCTCTCACCAGGGGGCCTTGGGAGCCCGATGCGGGGCTCGATCCCAGGACTCTGGGATCATGACCTGAGCTGAAGGCAGACGCTTAACGACTGAGCCCCCCAGGCGCCCCTGGAGTGAGATTCTTGCATGTGCGTGCCCCGGGCAGTGGCCATGAGCCCCTGGCTCTGCAGAGAGTTCCCTGTGCTGCGGGCCCTCTGCATCCCGCCTGCACCTCGTTCCCGGTGTTGTCTCGGGTTCTATGGAATCTCGCTTTTCAGTGAGCAAGCAGTGAGCAAGCAGTGAGCACAGTGAGCACACCCAGGTTCTTCTCTGGGGGCTCCTCTCACCAGGGGGCCTTGGGCTGCTTGGGGGCCACGCTCAGCACATGGTGTCTGGAGAAAAGAAGCCAAGGACACGGCACCATTGTGGGATGGTGGATCCATTGTGTCTCGGGGCCTCCCAGGAAGGCCAGCTCTTACTGAAGGTGCCCCCCTCTGCCCTGTGGCTCCCACCATCACTGTCTCCTCTTTGAGTCTGTCCTGGGGTCTGGATCCCGCTGTGGCTCCCGGTGGCCGACAGGAGGTGCGGGATTCCGAGCCCCCCAGGCGCCCCCCACGTGACCCTGGCGGGTTACCCCCCTGGACCTACATGAACTCACGTGCACACTGACAGAATACCAAACACCCACGTCCAAGCTCGACTGTGGAAATGTCTGAAACGCCACGAGGTTTTGTTTGGATTAGATTGGACACAAAACAAGGATTCAGATCGTAGAGGCTCAGTGGGGCTTTGCACTCACCTGATCCGATGAGTAGGCCACTAGCTTTTCCATGACGGCGCCCTGCGTCAGCCCCGGGGAGGCGGCCTGGAGGCGGCGCACCACCTTGGTCCGAGCGGCCAGCAAGGCCACCAGAGTGGCCTCACTGGCACTTCCCTGGATCGAAGAAAAGGTCGCGATGAGCTTCGAGGGGCAGCAAAGGAATCAATGTTGAAGCTGTTGGGAGACATTAGGGTCCCTATTTTTCTTAAAAGAGGAATCTGAAGCTGCAAAGCTGACTGCCCCGCACGTAGGAAGCAGATCCCGCTTCATTCTGCCTGCCCTCGTAATTTGCGAAATAACCGTGTTTTTTAATTCTGTCACCATCAGGTGGGAAATGCATGCCCAGCAAGAGAGGGACTAACTTGGTCCAGGTGAGCAGCTAGCAAGTGGCAGGGATATAGCAGGGAGTCCCAGCTGCCTTCCAGGCAGGGGGAGGGGGGTCCCCACATGTACGGCCATGTCCCCCTTCCCACTGCTCATGATCACCACCACTCACGGTCACCGCATCTTAAGTAAATCCTAGAAGAAACCCAGGAGCGGGACAGTATTAACATTAGAAAGGAAGAAAATAAAAGGAGGTAGATTTTGGTCGAGTCTGAGAGATTTGTAAGATTTTAGGGTTTTTGCAGAGAAATATACAAGAAAATCATTAGATCAACCTCCCCTGTTAACATTTCATCTTCCTTTCCCTTCAGCGATCCTGATTTCCTCTTCTGTTTCACCATTTTGATGCTTTTACTCATTCTTTTAAGCCAACACATACCCTTCGGGGAGGGGGGTGAAGTCTGAACATAAATACATTGACTTGGGAGTTTTGTAGCTCAAATGCACGGCCTCAGGGATACACGATATGATCTTCTTAATTTGGCCTGGGAGGTGGGTTTTGCATTTCTTCAGGCCATCTTGTCTTGAGCAATCATTGTAGAAGTGGTATTAGAATAGACGCGGGCTTGGTGACCGCCGCGGGGCTGTCTGGGGCCTCACAGAATGCAGACGATCAGCCTTGTCAGCTGGGAAGGGTGGGCTGCCTGCTGCAAACAGACTTGGTTGCCGGTGCTCACACAGCAAAGTGAAGAAACAGGGCTGACAAGGCTAAATGGGCCATCACAGGGAATCCAAGCTCCCTGAGGGCAGGCATTGGACCTCCCACTCCAGTGGCCTGGGCTCCCTCCTGTGCCCCACATGTGTGTCCTGGACCCGCTGGCTCATTCCTTCCCATTGGAAGTGAACCAGGAGAAGCTTCCCGGAAGACACAGCTTCTGAGTGCTGAAATCATCTGCCTTGTTCGGTCCCCAACACCCACGTGGGATTGCAGCCCCCTCCCTACCTCCCACCCTCTGCCCGAGGCCTTGACCCCCAAAGGTCTGTTCTCCCCGGAACCACTTGCTAAGGAAAGGCTTTGAATCGCCGTGCTAATTCATCACGGGGTTTGCCTCTCCGCTCTGTCCATGTGCTCCCCTCCTTCCCGCCGCCAAAAGTGATTGACCCCATACAATGCCCAATGAGAGAATGAAATCCTCAGTGGAGTCTCCAGAGCTCAGGGGCTCCCGGGCAGCCCACAGGCTCCAGCCCTGAAGTCAGAATTCAGGCAGATTTCCGGCCCTTTGTGGAAAGCTGAGCTGAGCTTTGCCAGGGAGGGAGGAGCAGGGGTCTGTTCTGGAACTGAGGCTGTATAATGACATCTTAGCTTTACTGCAGCAGGGACAAAGGTTGCCATGGCAAGCCGGCTACGAAGCAGAAGGAAATGCTGGTGACAAGTGACTCGGGGGCCAGAACCGCCCTTTCCTCCTCTGGCTGTTTCAAGTGTCACCCCACACGCGGCGAGCAATTGGCTTTTCTTCCACAAGAGCTTTCAAACCCAATTAAGAGACCATCTTCCAGCCCGGTTTGCCCAGCTCGGAGGATGACTTGCCATTTGACTCTGTTGCCCGTCACCGTGCTGACATCTAGAAGCTGGGACTATGGCCCGGGGGGGGGGGCGCAGCGTCCCCCCACAGCTCTGGCCCTCTGGCGGTCACCAACCCGGGGTGCTGTCTGGGGCCTCACGGATGGCAGACAATCAGCCTTGTCAGCTGGGAAGGGTGGGCTTCCTGCCAAAAACAGACACAGTTGCCTATGCTCACACAGCAACACTGAGGGAATTGGGCTCGAAGGACGATTTGACCCCCAGGGGCCGAGAGATGCCAGGATGATTCGCAACCGATGCTGGGGCGGCCGGTGTCTCTGCACAATTGGATTGTCTTTAAAGTAAGGATAATTGCAAGATGAACCTCTGGATACTCTAACCCAAACCAAGAGTCACAGATGAGCTGGTGGAATTCGTCCTCACCTTGCCTCTAGTCAGCGTGCACTCTTGGGCACGATATGCTCCCTTTCTTGGCTCCACGTTCCTCAGCGATGAGAAAAGTCATTGATAATGCAGTCAACCCTCATAACTATTTGCAGGTTGAAAGAGAATCGCATAAGGCACCAGGAATAAGCCTAGCCCGGAGAGGGCATTCAGTAAAAAGTCACTGTTGGCATAAAGGGCATGCCTGAGATTATCAGGTATTTGCAAGATTTTTGAGAAGCATCAAATTAGAAGAATCATCTCGGCTGGCTGAAAAGAGCCGAATGCAAAACTGTTTTAGTCGTAAGATCCAATGACCCAGAAACACTCTTTTTATTTTTGGGGTTTTTTTTTTTTTTTGACTTTTTGTGGAGCATGAACGGTGGATATAGTCTTAATTCAGAGAGCCTCAGCATGAAGGCGGTAATTTCCTTAGAAGATTGTTGCACTTGCCCTAAATGGTATCCTCTGAGATGCTATAAAGGGGAAAATCTGATACAATGTATGTCATGTATTATTTACGTAAACTGTGATGCATCGTAGAAAATAATGCAATAATATCCTCAAAGGATGGGAAATGCTCCCAACAAAATAGTGGGTAAAATACCATCCAGAAAATATTGTATTATCCCAACCTTGTATACACACACACACACACACACACACTCACACACACACACACACACGCAAGGATTGAAATAATACCAGAAGTCTGCCCCCAAACAGTCCTGTATCTTTTCCATTTTTACTGTCAAGGTCTGCTTTTCTCTCTCTCTCTCTCTCTCTCTTTCTTGTCAGAGAGAGCAAGAGGACAAGCAGAGGCAGTGGGAGAGGGAGAAGCAGACTCCCCGCTGAGCAGGGAGCCCGATGTGGGACTCGATCCCAGGACCCTGGGACCATGGCCCAAGCTGAAGGCAGACGCTTAACCGACTGAGCACCCCAGGAGCCCCATGGGTCTGGTTTTCATGAATGGAAAGGGGACGACACTTTTGTAAAGAGGAAGAGCAGAACCAAAGTGGATCTCGAAGGGATAAATGGGCAATGTGGAAAACGGAAACGGGTTTGGAGACAACGATGAGCAATTCCCTCCAAAATAGAGAGGAGAAAATGACCAAAAAAGGGAAATAACCCAAGAAAGCTGGAAATGACAGGAGAGGTGGCCGCCTTGTCGAAAATGGAAGGTCCTGGAAAACCCACAAAGGGCTTTTGGGAGGGCGGCCCACAGTGACAGGTGCAGCAGAAGCAAGACTTCCCCGGGGGGAAGAAGGAGCTAAGTCCCAGATTAATAGGGCTCACCCAACAGGGGGGCGGAAGGGGGTGAGGAGGGCTCAGAGTGAATGGGACAGAGGAGAAAAGTGGATCTGGGCACACTGCGTGGAATTACAAAGGAAAAGTAAAGTTGCTGCCAGCATCCAGGCGGCTGGGAGTGTGAGCTCTCCCCAGGCCTGGAACTGAGTCAAGTAGGATTCAAAGCCAAAGTCCCCTCCTCGAAACTCTGCTCTCCTTCTGCCCCCCTGCGGCCACCTGCTCTTCTGTCAGTACCCGCACTCTGCTCGTCCTTAGAGGAAGGACTGCCATGATGGCCTCTGGAGAACCATGTTGGATGTTCTGGAGTTTGCAAAGCCGCCAACCTCCTCCAAGGTGAGAAGCAGGGGAGAGGGACAGCCTCCCTCCCCGAGGCCAGCAGGTACAGGACAGCCTCGCCCTGTGTCCAGGGAGCTGAAATAGTTTGCCCTTGTGAGGATATCCCTGTTCTACTGTGTTCACGTTTAAGGCTGGCTCACAGCCTCAAATTGAAACCTGCTCAGAATCAGCGTCAGAGGATGGAAGTTTCGAGAACCAGAGATGGGGAGGCAGGAGAGGACAGAGGGAAGGGCTCCGAGCCTGGCCATGGTGGCCTGCTGGCCACAAAGAAGTCAGCCAGCAGCCCCGGCACGTGGCTCTTCAGAGTGACCCGAGCGGGACCTGGGAATGCCCCTTCCTGAGCCAAGACCTGTCGAGTCCAAGCTCGAGGCGTCAGGTCTAGGACTCCCTCCGTGACTCTGACGCAAAGTGCGTGCAGTTGGCAGAATAAGGCCTCCCAAAGACGTCCAGGTCTTAATCCCAAAGCTGTGAGTATTTACGTGGAGAAAGGGATCTTGCCGATGTGATTAAGAGCCATGACACAGGATTATCTTAGATTATTTGAGTGGGCCCTTGAAAGTGGAGAACCTTCCTCGTCTGTGGTCAGAGGGAGACGTGACCGAGAAAGAGGGATCAGAGAGATGGAACGCTGCTGGCTTTGGAGATGGGGAAGCGGCCATGGCCCAGCACTGTGGGAAGCTTCCAGAAACTAGAAAAGGCAAGGCAAGATGCTCTCCTGGAGCCTCCCGGGTGTCAGACACCTGAGCTACAGAATTGTAAGGTGATAGGTTTGTGCCGTTTGTTTTTCCGATTTTATTTATTTGTTTGTCAGAGAAAGAGAGAGAGAGAGAGAGCACAAGCAGGGGCAGAGGCAGAGGGAGAAGCAGACTCGTCGCTGAGCAGGGAGCCCGATGTGGGGCTTGATCCCAGGACTCTGGGATCATGACCTGAACTGAAGGCAGACGGTTAACCGACTGAGCCACCCAGGCGCCCCAGGTTTGTGCTGTTTTAAGCCACCAAAATTTGCAGCAACAGAAAACGGACGCACGGAAGTCAGAAGCCCTGGTCTGGGTGAGCAGCAGGCCAGCACCGGGCAGTGGGGGGTTGCTTCCTACTTGACTTTGGCCACACCCACCAGGTGATGGCACGCAATCCGGGCCGCAGCACTTTCACTGGCCCATGGGCAGATTAACAGTTGCTTTAACTGAGTCTCGGAGCCTTTAAAATCAACGGTGCTTTCCCAATTTCAATGACATATACTTGACACCAGAAAAATGATGTCAAGGAGGGTGGTGGGTTCAACAGAGCCCATCGTCCATGCTTCGAAATAAAAAGAGCACAAAGCCCACATCTCCTTGGTGCATTTGTCCAGAGGCTCCCGGGGGGAAGTGACTGTCCCTGGTTCCTGACTTGTCTCTGATGCTGCCTGGGACATCATTGCTGTCAACAACACACGTCCACAGAAGAGAATGACACAGTGCGTAGAGAAGGCAGCAACGTCAAGTGACCCTGGTTCTCATTGACCCAGAACTTTCTAGAAGCTGTGGAAGGACTCTGTCACAGTTGCACTCACTGCTCGAGGGACAGTGATCAGGGTGGTGGCAGTCACGGCTCTGCAGTCAGACAGATGTGGGCTCAGAGCCCAGCTCTAGAACTTACCAGCAGACGGGGGTGGGGGGGCTGGTGGGCCAGTCACCCCACGGCTCTGAGCCTCAGTACCCTTGCCTGTCAAATGGTGTTAAAACGGCCCCTAATTCCTAGTCTTTTGTAGAATTAAACGAATTAATGCCTGCAAAGTGCTCAGGTGCCACTTTGATTTACGGAGCCTGGGAGAGGGAGGGACAGACAGCGCCAGGACCCAAATCCAGGTCCAGAGGCTTCCTGGCTGCTCGTTCCCCAGAAGGACACACAGGAAGCTCCAGCAACTCTTTTTTTTCCACCTGCCGCTGTGGCCCTGGGACGTCACCCCCAGCGTCCCGGGAAGCTGGACACCCCTCCCCTGCTGCTTACCTGGATCACTCCGCCCCCTTCTCCCACTTGACCCGCCAAAAATGCCTCTGGCAGCTTCAGCATCTTCCCCAGCCAGTCCATCATCACGGTCTCCAGCTCTGTGCACGCCGGACTCGCGGCCTAGAGGGGCGAGAAGACCGGAATCGGCCACCTGCCGGCTTGTCATGGACGGGTGCGCTCTGTCACTTAGGATCTCAGCAGCAGTTTCGTAAAAAGCCTTAAACATTTTCAAAAGGCCCATCCCTGGGTGGGGTTTATGTGCTGGCATGCTCTCCCGCCCAGGGGTCCCAGGGAGAAGCATCAGCTGGGATTTCTCCCCCCGACTCCCCTCTTACCTGCCAACTGGGCACAGCAGCAGGACCCCTCGCTCTGGCAGCCCTGAAGCAATACGGGGGGCCCACTCTGGGCACGTGCTGTGCAGAGCGCTTAGCACACATGTCATCCCTCTTCTCTCTCACCCTCGAAGAACTGAGGGAACCACAGTACCCAGATCTGCCCTGGAGGGACGGTGACCTCCCCATCCCCCACCCACCAACTTGGGTCCCTGGGAACATCACCCTCCTCCCCTCCCCCTTCCCTGCCACACATCTCTGGAGGCTGGTGTCAAAACAAGGGCCAGGTCTTGCAGGATTTGGGGAGCAGCAGGAGGGTTTACTCTTCCACTGAACCTCAGATTAAAATCTCCCAGTCCCAGATGCTGTTCAAACGCCTGAAATGAGCTGAAAGGAGATTCAGACCTGTGCCCTTTCACCAGGACTCATGGGAGAATGGCCGGGATGGAAGGTACAGCCCAGAATGACCCCAGTGCACTGGGCTGCGCTCCACCAGCACTACGTGCAGCCCCGTCTAGCCACATCCGTGTATATACAGAAGGATCTAGAAAGACAAACTGGTGGATTCTCCTATAGTCACAAGTGAGTGCAGCAGTGAGACCGGATCAGTCCGGGAGGTGGGTTCCAGGTGGCCCGAATCCCCTGGAAGCCCCCGGGGCAGGTCGCTGACCTTGCCTTTTCTGGGCTCGAGATGGTGCTCTGCAATATTGGACGCTCCTCTGTCATCGCACAGGGGAGAGGACAGGTTGGCTTGGTACCCACCCAAGCATGCACACCAGCTCATGATGCATGGCTGGTAAGAACGAGCAGAATGTTCTCCCTGCTAGTCTGCCCTGGGGGAGGGTCCTACCCCATCCTAGCCAAGACCAGCTCCAGGCGTGGGAACTGCACTGACTATTAGGAACCCATGTCTTGGCCAGCACAGCCGAGGGGCAGGGAGGCAGCCCTCCCAGGCTCCAGAGAAACCAGAGTGTCCGCAGAAAGAACAGACATCATGGGATAGAAGCCGAGTCACCCCGAGGGACAGGATGGCTCTGCACCAGCCGAGCTAATGAAGTCTGCTGTAGTAGCTCATGAAAGAAAGTGTCCTTCAGAAAGGGGTGCTCAGCAAAGACAAAGAGAGGTGACCGAGGCCACCCTGTCCGTGTTCATGCTGCTCTTGGTACCCAGCAGAGAGCAGTTCAGAGAGCCACAGCGGGGAGCCAGGGATCACCCCCCCAACCCTTCCTGGGAGGCTGACTCCATCCCCCAGCAACTCCGGACAGACAGACAGACAGATGGAAGTCTCAGTCTAAAGAGCAAGCGAGGCAGGTTGCGGGGAGCAGGGAGATGCTGGGTCCCACTGCTCAGCACTAAGCATTCATTAACCAACACCTCCTTCACCTGCCTTGGGTCCTTGGGCAGCACGAGTCAGCACCCATGAGTCCACTCAGCTCCAAGGCACGAGGCAGGTGGCACTCTGGACCCAGGAGGCCCTGGGATCCCCGATGCCATTGGCAGGCCGCCGCTCTACTTCTGAGTGCTCTGCATTTAGGGAGGAGGGAATCCCTCCAGGAGCTCTGGGTCTGGGAGCAGGGAGCCACAAGGAGGAGTCGAGCCTGGCCGCTCCTCTGGCATTTTATCCCCAGATGAGGTGGTGCCGGGACGGCTGGCATGGGGGGCAGGAGTTAGCCCCATTTCCAGAGCCGCCTGCACCCCCCCCCCCCGCACCACTCCACGCGGGTGATGGGCGGGGGCCTCTCCTGGCTACGGACAGATGGAATGAGCCCCGGGCGGCTGCAGACTATAGTACATAGAAATCCTCCGGAATGCTCGGGAGGAGTGCAGATGCCCAGGCGTGGGCTGCAGAAACTCCAGGGCCTCGGCTGTGATTTTAATTCATACCAAGTACCTCTAAAAAAAAGAAGTGCTGCTATGCAGAATTGGGCTATTTTCCAGAAAGGAGACTTTACCTTGTTCTATCTCCCTGAATTCCACGTTCCCTTACAAGGCACTCTCTCCAAGGCCGAGTCCTTCTCCCTTCCCACAGGTGCCACCGCCACCTGCTCAGGTCCTGTGGGCACAGGAGCCCTGTCCCCACGGCAGCATCTCCCACCATTGCCAGGATCCCCCAGGGTCACCCCGAGCTCACCCAGGAGAAGCCGATGCAGCCGATGGCCCCACACAGTATGTCTGCAAGCAGGGCTGGGTACGAGTTGGCCGTGGGGAAGTACGCGAAGAAGTAGGGGTTGTGCCAGTGGGTCACCTGTGTGGAGACATCGGGGTGTGAGGGAGCCCAGCCCCGCGTGAGGAGGACCCAGGTCCCCTCTGTTTGCCGCCACGGCAGGTGAGGTCTCGAGAAAGCAACACTGTATCAAATTCTGGTTAGGTGCACTTGTCAGAGAAAGAGCAACAACGGAGGCCCCATCCCCCTGGTTAGAAGGCTCCTTTTCCTAAAACTGCTCTAAAAAAGTAAAATCCATATTAGAAAAAAAAAACCAAACCCGATTTCATGGATTCTTCAGCTGGTCTTCCTGCCACCAACTCTAGCTCCTATGCAAGGCGCCCCTCCAGCACCCTTAGCTCCATCACCCCCCACATCCCTCCTCTCTTCTGTCCCCAGCCTTGCTGTGGGGGGGCCCAGACTGGGGCAGCAGTGGGGCCACACTGGGGAGCTAGGGGCAGGGAGCAGATGTGCAAAGACAGGCCCGGTTAGGGAGGCTGGAGCCCGGCAAGCCCGCTGGGAATGGGAAAGCAGGACTGGCTGGGAACATCTCAGAGTCTGGGAAGAAGATGGGGGAGGGGAGAAAATGGGGGGAGGAGGGGCTGTTGACCAGCCTGTCAGGAGGGAACAGAATAAATAAAGCATTTAAGACACCCTCCTCAGGGCGCCTGGGTGGCTCAGTCATAAGCGTCTGCCTTCGGCTCAGGTCATGATACCAGGGTCCTGGGATCGAGCCCCGCATCGGGCTCCCTGCTCAGCGGGGAGCCTGCTTCTCCCTCTGCCTCTCCCCCTGCTTGTGTTCCCTCTCTCGCTGTGTCTCTCTCTGTCAAATAAATAAATAAAATCTTAAAAAAAAAAAAAAAAAAAGACACCCTCTGCCCCTGGGCGGTGGAGGTGTTCTGCCAACACGCTTCATTTTCATGGTCTGGAGAAAAATGCAAATACATCTTTAATAAACTAGTTACCAACCTGCCATTGGGCCCCATGTGGCACAGAAGACCACCCTGGTTGTGAAGGTAGCTTTCTGGGAGCTCTCTGAGAACTGGGAGCAGTCCTGGGGACTGAAGACCAGTCCTGCTCCCGCCATGGTCACCCCCCACCCCAGGCTGAAGGGGGGGAGCCAGCATGGATGCTCCTGGAGCACTGAGTGGGGGAGGGATGGGCACATACTGCAGAAACCCAGGGAGGACCAGCGGATTCGGTCTGGGGTGGGGGCAGGGGTGGCCAGCAGCTTGTGGGGACCAAGAAGGAGGGGGCAACGGTCTGGAGAGAGCTAGAAGCTCAGCACAGTCCCAGCCTGGGGGGCTCAGGCAAGAGAGGCTGCTGGTGGACCTGAAAGGGCTATAGGGAATGGCAGGTCCAGTGTCTAGCGCCTACAGGATACTTTTAGGGGCCCAGAAAATATTTTAATTTCTTTGAAGAATCAGAAGGAAGAAGTAAACATTCAGGTCCAAGGGAAAAAAAGTAATTTAATGCTAATACATTCATGTCCATGTCAGTGCATTCGCAAATTATAAATTCCCATATTTCTAAGGAGGAAGAGGCCCATGGGAGTGCAAGTGGACCCCCCAAAGGCCCCTCACTGTGTCCCCTCCCTGCTTGCCCCGACAGCTGGCAAAGGACAGGAGTGATTCTCCACTGGGGACCCCTGCACCTTTGCTTTCACTCTCAACTGATGCTCACACCACACTCAAGATGGATATTCCTGTGCTCACTCCACACACCTGCAGACAGGAGCCCCGAGAGCTCATCTACTGTCCCTTGCAACCCACCCAGGGACCCAGGGACCCAGGACATGCAATGCCCGCTTCTCACACTGCCAGAAAACTCCAAATTCTATCATCTCCCACATCCCCCGTCAGGGAGGGCATGTTTGTGCTCCCCAAATTCCTATGTTGAAGCCTTAACCCACACTGTAATGCCATTAGGCGTGGGGCCTCTGGGGGCCCTGGCAAGGAGGAGGCCATGTGAGGGATGCCCAGAGGTGGCCGTCCGCAAGCCAGGCTGAGAATCCTTACCAGGAACCAAATCTGCTGGCACCTTGATCTCGCGCTCCCAATCTCGGGACTATGAGAAGCAAATAAATGTCTGTGGTCTGAGCCACCCAGCCCCGGAGTGTTTTGCCACCCCCCTCTGCCTGACATTTAACCACATCTCCCCTGGAGGGGCTTAGTGCCTTAGTGCAGAGTGACTCAGTGTGTTTGCACAATCTCAAAGGCGAGAACGAGAATCCCGCGCTTCGCTCCAAGCCCAAATGTCAAGGGAAACCCCTGGGAGGTGGAAAGTGAGCAGCAGGTCTGAAAGAGGCACTCTGGTCTGGAGGAACAGCCCTGACCCGGGCCGGTGGCCCCGTGACTCAGTGGCTTCAGATAAAGAGGTCTGCCTCCATGGACAGAATCTGCACAGAAGCAGGGTCACACACACCCCCCCATTCTCAAGTAAAATAAATAATTTCTTCCAGGCATGCAATTTGCCTTGCTAAACACAAGAATGTTAGAAATGGGCTTGCTTTATTTTGAGCGAGGAACTTACCTGAAACAAGCCACCAGGGGTCTGTGTCCCCCAAAGGTCCTATGAGGGCTCACGCATGTACCAGGGCCTCAGGGTGGGGCCTGACCTGGGGATCTATGGGGGAAAGCATACTCACTGCCCTGGGAGTCCACACAACCCAGGGTGCAGTCCTGGCTCCATCACTTACTAGCTGTGTGACCTCAGGCTGAACACCTAACCTCTCTGGGCCTCCGTTGGCTCCGTTGGTTCACCAGCAAGGTGGCTGTGAGGACCCATGCCTAGCACAGGACCCTACCTAGCATAACACGTGTGACCTGCCCAATGCCCAGTAGGTGCCACCTTAACGCTAACCCTTCTGTTTTGCAGCCTTGAGTCCAGACTTACCCCCGGCATGATTATCTTCTCAACATCATTGAGGATGTCCTCAAATGTGTCTGGCTCCTCGGGGGCAGTGGTGGGGATCAGGGGCCGCAGGTAGCCGGGCTCCACATCGGGGTACACCTGGCGCCCCTCGATGCCTTCCAAGTAGTCAGCCACAAAATCCACCATCTCCTTCCCTCTCCTTCGGAATTCACTGGAGTTCATGGTGGCAGAACCTTCACAGTGAGAGAAAATAAATCAGTTAGCAAATATGACAACCTCTAAACTGGACTGGGGCAGTTACCAGCAAACTGACTGCTGGGGCCACCTCAGCTGGGAAGAAGCACAATGAGCCGGTCACATGTGTCATTGTGTTATATATGTGTGCCTGTTGTGAATGGTCAGGAAAGCACCACGAGTATGGATTTCGGGATTACAAACGAATTTTAGCAAGTAGGTGAATTTGCACAAAGGAGACCTGTGAATAATAAGAACCAGCTGTATTTTTGAAACAGGGAACTGGGACAACTCAAAGAAAGGTATTCACCTGGAACCCCACCACTCAGAATTCTGATGCATGTCCTTCCAGAATGCTTCCTGTATTTGTAAGGGACCACTGGGTGCTAAGCAAAGGGTGCATTTTTGAATTCTCCCCACAGTTCAAAGCTTCATAATTCACGATGGACTCCTCCGTGAGGATACGTGCTAGGTGGGGGGTGATTCTACCTACACCTTCTGTATGTAACACAGGTGATGAACTTGGCGTTGGAATGCCAGCACATCTTCCATCGATTCCCACTGTCCGTGCCGGGTTTCTGTGGATTTTTTTCTCAACCATATTTATGAGGTAAAAGGTATTAAAGAGAAATGGTTCACCAGACGCTTGTTAAACACAACAAGAAGATTTTATTCAAGACTATTGCAACAGGGGAGGGAGACTGAATTTAGCTCCCAATGCAACAGGGGAGGGTGGAGATTCATAGCCAAGAGGTAGGATATAGGGAGAGGATGGAGCACGACTCAGAGCAACCTGGTTGGGGTCCAGGGAAGGCAGAGAAGAGCTTGACTGGGTGTCAAGGGTAGAGCCTTCCCTGATGAGCTGGCTGGCAGGATTCTTTGCCAAACCCGGGCTCAGCGTGCCAAATTGAGTGCGAATGAAGAGGGCTCACAGAAGCGGGACTGAAGTGTGCTCCAGGAGAGCGTCTTGGCAGAGGTGAGCCAGTCTGAGGATGCCTTTCCAGGCCTCGGTGCTCCCTCGAGTCTCCAGGATGCTTTCTTCAGAGCGCTCCCTGGTACATGAGTTAGACGTTTCCAGGTTGCTTCAAGATGGTTTGGTAGAGCAAACCCTCAACTCCGTGTTATTGTCTGGGGATACATTTGGCATCTAGTGAATGCGTGAGTCACAGCAACTGAAACATAAAGTACTCTAAATTGTAGCAACAGTGAATGCTAAAAACCTGTGATTGCCTGGAGTCCCCACTTACGCTTATAAGCTCAGGGCCAAGAAGTGCTCTGCTTCTTATCCAGGATATCAGAGCCAGACTTTCCAAAGGCTCTTAGCGCAAAGCCCCAAAGCTTTATCTGCATAACTTCTGGTTTATAATTCCCTGGGCCTGCAAGCTTCGAAACTGATTTTTCATTCAGAGTGACTGATTATTTTGAATTTTGCACAGAGAGTAAACCTTGCTTATTAAAAACCCCAAATCAAAGTATTTCAAGTTGACACGATTCAAATGCAACTAAAACTGTATGGATTTGCAGGTCTTTTTTTGCTAGCTTGCTTTTCACTAAGCAATTTTACGTGCATGTCCCACGTTAATAAATACTTTTCCAGCATGTTCTTTCTCACAGTTGTTCGTATTTCACAGCTCACACATGCTATATTCACAGTACGCTTCAATCGTTGAACATTCCAAAGTGCTCTCCCAGCGGGAGTGTGTAACAACGCTCCGTCGGCCATGCTGTTGCCAACACTGGGTTTGAGCAATCTCATTTTAAGCTTTACCGGCCTCACAGGTATCGATGATCCTGTTTTACTTGGTTTAATGAGGTTCGATAGGTTTCTCTTGCTTCTTTGCCATGTGGATTTCTTTTAGGAAGTGCTCGTCCACTGCTTTTATTTAATTGTGAAAACTCTACTGTAACAGGTTTGCCCTTATGCCTGTGATATATTTTGCAGACATTTTCTTCATTTTTTATTTGACCTAATTTTGCTGATAATTTTCTTCTGACCTATAAGAATTTCAATTTTTATGTAATCAAGTCTCATGATCTTTTCCTTTATGATTTGTACCATGGGAATGACTATTAAAAATGCCCTGTGGATGGGGCGCTGGGCTGGCAGTCAGTTGTGTGTCCGGTTCTTGGTTTCGGCTCAGGTCATGATCTTGGGGTTCTGAGATCGAGCCCTGCGTCAGGCTCCATGTTCAGCACAGAGTCTGCTGTGTTTCTGTCTCCCTTTCCCTCTGCCCCTCCCCACTGCACTCTCTTTCTAAAATAAATAAGTAAATCTTCAAAAAAATGCCCTGTGGAGTATATATTCGGGCGATCTCTATGTGCCCCGCTGTGGGTTAGCACAGGGAACTCGCAGAAGATCCAGCATGAGGAGCTGGGCACAATTAAGAAACGTGCTTTGGTGGGCGCCTGGTGGCTCAGTTGGTTAAGCGACTGCCTTCGGCTCAGGTCATGATCCTGGAGTCCCGGGATCGAGCCCCACATCGGGCTCCCTGCTCGGCAGGGAGTCTGCTTCTCCCTCTGACTCTCCTCCCTCTCGTGCTCTCTATCTCTCATTCTCTCTCTCTCAAATAAATAAATAAAATTTTTGGGAAAAAAAAAAAGAAACATGCTTTGGTTCCCAGAGAATCGACTGCTCCTTTCCAGCAGGAACAACATCACATGGATGGCCAACATCGGATGCCTCAGGAAAAATGGCCAGACACACACACACACCAACTCACCCTCCGAAGAAATATTCCCAAATTGTAAGATGAGACTGGCTTATTATGTTCTAGCTGTTCTGCCATTAATTTGCCTATTATTTCCCACAAAGGCCTTTCCAGAAGGCTCTTAAGGTCGAAGCCTCAGAGAATCTCAGGCTTCATTTTGTAGCTGTTTGATATCTCATGCCCCCAAGCTGGGCAAATATTGGCTGGAAGATGTAGACAGTGATAACGTGTGTGACTGATGCCTCCCCAGGCCCTCCGAAGAGCTTCTGTGGACATAATCTGATCACCGGGCAGGCCAGTCCCAGTGATCTACGTGCAACCGTTGTCATGCTGCGTGGGTGCAGGGACCCCGGCTCGTCTCTGGACACCTGCACCCCACATACCCCCTGGCTTCTCAGTCAGTGCAGGGCAGGGCACAGCTCTGACCCCACAAGCTCAGGCAGGTCTGAATTGCCCTGCACCCCCTCGTCCCTCCTGCCTGGCCCAGGGCTTATTTGGTTTTGTGATTTATCATTCCACTGACATTCTCTGCCAACTGGGGCTTCCCCGAGCTGAGTCCTCAACTGTTGATTTTTGCTTTCTCAGGACCAAGCACTGACCCGGGGCCACACTGAGCACCTCGAATGCTTGCTGACTGAGGGGGATGAATGAGTGAATATATGAATGGACGAATGGAATATCTGGCCCTGTAAACATTTCATTTCTGAAATATGCCCTGTTATACCCTACTCTTTACCTTTAAGACAGCCATAACCACGAGCCCATCACATATCTGCCACAGGAAAAGCCACAGGAGACAATGGTCCCGGGACGCCTGGGTGGCTCAGTCGGTGAAGCGTCTGCCTTCGGCTCAGGTCATGATCTCCAGGTCCTGGGATCGAGCCCTGCATCGGGCTCCCTGCTCAGTGGAGAGCCTGCTTCTCCCTCTCCCTCTGCCCCTCCCACCCTGCTCATGCTCACTCTCTGTCTCTCTCTCTCAAATAAAGAAAAATATTTTTTAAAAAAAGAGATAATGGTCCCTATGGAATCCTGACCCACCCTTGCCGGGGCCCGTCATGTCCACTTCATGCTGAGCCTCTGGCCCTCCAGCCTCACTAACGACTCGGTTTGCCCAGCCTAGCCCTCAGTGTTCACCTTGGACTTGAGCTTCCCTGTCGTCTGGCTCCAGCAGTACCCCCAGAGTCTGGACCAACCTTGACCACAGTGGTTTGGCCAGAACCCAAGCCAGGCCTCAGACGGTATCTCACAGGTCATGGTTGTCACGTGGCTGAGTGCCTGTGGGACCTCAGTGATGACACAGCTGAACTGGCTGGATGGACCAAGGCCACAGTTTGGGCGTCGGGGGGCAGGGGTGAGTAGTCAGTCCCTCTGGGAAGGCCGGGGACCCACGGCAAGGCAGTGCTCTGTCCCTGTCTGTGGTCCTGCCTGCCAGGGTTCGGCAGCCATGGTCTTGTTCAAACCCTGGGACACTGGACACTGCAGCCTTTCCTGGCCTTCCTCTTCCAACTTGATAAAAAGAAAAGTGCTTACATTTTTTAATACACTATTCCAGGTAAAATGAACCATAATTAGGATTCAAAACACGCTTCTCCCCCCCAACCCGCCCCTCCCCTCAGGCCCCGGGGACTGAGGCCTTGTCTCTTTCCCTCCAGCACATCAGTCTCAATCTAGGCACAAAAGTAATTGGGCCAATTTTCCCCTGAATCACCTGGTTTCTTGATGAGCACTTCCTCTGTGGGTGCAGCTCTCAGCTTGCCTTGAACGAAATCCCCTACGCTCTTCTGTAATGCGTAAGACTCTAGTTAACAAGTCATTCAGGAGCTGTGCGTCATTTAAATTAGCATTTCATTCAGCGACTATATCGTGTGTGTGTGTGTGTGTGTGTGTGTGTGTGTGTGTGTGTGTGTGTGTGAAGAACCTCAACAAGGCCCCAAAAGGCCACAGTCAGGGGCACGGCCATCTCTAGAGTCAGGCACATCCTTGCCCTTTCTGACTCTCGCCCAGCCCCACACAAAGGCTCCTGGTAAAAAAGCTTACCTCTAAGGACTCTTGGGAGATACACGGGATAATGAGTTTAGTGCCCCTCAGAGCTGACATTCAGATAAAACTTTTTATTAAAACTTGGGGAAGGAGCGCCTGGGTGGCTCAGTCATTAAGCGTCTGCCTTCGGCTCAGGTCATGATCCCGGGGTCCTGGGATCAAGCCCCACATCGGGCTCCCTGCTCCGCGGGAAGCCTGCTTCTCCCTCTCCCACTCCCCCTGCTTGTGTTCCCTCTCTCGCTGT